TTATTTGATGGAACAAAAAAATCACAGCTGGAGATAAAGTTTCATAAGTATTAGTGACCCACATACCTATAAGCTCAGCAACTGCACTGAAGGGCCAGGTGTGACTGGTAGAGTTGGTATGCAGGAACTTTGGGCAAAGCTGAAATACAACAGAAACAACAGCATCAGTTTGTGATCCAGGGTGAAGTTACAAAAACCCATTCATGCTTCCATCCAAAAGTAACAAACTTAACATAAGCTCTCAAATATTAAAAATGTACATTTTAAACCATGAGTATTAATCTGGAAAAAAACCCCACCTAATACATCCAGTGACTTGGTGTCTAATGTCACCGCTCCCTTTGCCCACATTGATCAAAACTGCCTGTTACTGGGACCTGTCAGATTCTTTCAAATGGTAGCTGTAAATGCTGGCAATTCAGGCTCGTGTATTTCAGCCTCATTTACTATCAGATGTAACCACAAGAATGTAGGCACTACTAGGACTAGATGGCAACGTGCACAGTAAAATATGTATTTATGTGACACATTTTATAGATGTCAGTGATAAAAGTATTCTCAAGTCATTTATGAAAGCCTAGGTTTGTATACATTCACTTAGATCAAAAGAACAGGAAAAGCAGAACTAGGAATCACATAACTTATGGATTTGTCAATGCAACGTTTGGGGAAGTTTAATTGTTGACCTTGGTATAGCTGTATTTGCAGAGAATATCTGTAATTATACTTTTACAAGCTCTTGAGCAGTGCACATATATGCTTATGCCTCATTGGTGCAGGTACACTGATGGCATAAAAAGCATCTAGGAATATCCAATGCTGGAAATAGCTCTCGTGAAGTACAGGTGCATGAGAAAACATAATTCATACCATATATAAAATAAGGAAAATATTTTAGAATAGCACGTATGTATCCACACAACCAATTTTATACAACTGCTACTGTGACAATCACTTTCACATAATTAGTAAGGACTAAATTAGAGGAAGCAACCACTTTGGGTCCCCAAGGTCATTTATCAGAGAAAAGAATAACGCTACAAACAAGTTCCAGAACCAGGTGCCACAGTGGGAGCAAAGCTGCAGCAGCCCTTGTTCAGATCAGCATCGACTGCCAAGAAATCTCACCTTGATTCAAAGGTCATTGAGAGACCAGACACACTTTTGGATTGCAAGTTAGCCCTGGTATTTCTCCACCAATTCAGACTGCAAGTATAGACAGACACTACACGCTTTACTGCCACGTGTTTTAAAATTACTGTTTTATAAACTGTGGTGAATTCAATCAGCCCAAGTCACTGTGCTTTTTAAAAAATTCCTAATGGATGCTTACAAATAATTTAGGATTTAAGACATTGAGCCCAATTACTGGAAACAGTATGTACACCACAGCTCCTGTTAAATGGAGCTTTCAATTTCTTCAGTCTACTATATGACAGCTCAGCAGATCTTAAGACCTGAAAAAAGGACCACAAGTAGTTTTGAAAGGCACAAATTTATAGTTGTGAACCTGCCCTGCTCAGACAGCACTGAGGAAAGAAAGAACTTCAGCATCTGTGAGACTGACATAATCAGAGCTGTGTCCTCTTTTCTGTGAGGCAAAGTGTGGATCAGTACAGCAAGAAAATCTCCTCATGCAGTGCCTTGATAACGCGATGCCTCTCCATTCCTCGTGTCACAGCTGCATACCAGTGACTAACTCTGAAAAGAAACATCTTTTATAAACAAACATAAAAATTCTGCCAGTCTCTCCTGGATTGCTGTTTCAGATGGTAAGGTTGTGAAAAAGGCTGAGATGTGGGACCCAACTGCAGGAACGTGAACAGTTATACAAAACTAGAAGATACGAGTTGGAACATGAGATCTTTAAGAAATTGGTTCTTGGCTCTAAAGCTCCCTCAGCTAAAGGTGAGCAGCCTGAAGGGCAGTTCACAGGAAAAGCTACAGAATGACAGAATGGCCAGGGATGGAAGAGACTTCAATGATCATGAATCTCCAACCTCTCTGCCACATGCAGGGCCACCAACCTCCACATTTAACACTAGACCAGGCTGCCCAGGTCTCCATCCAACCTGGCCTTGAACACCTCCAGGGATGGGGCAACCACAACCTTTCTGGGCAGCCTGTTCCAGCACCTCACCACTCTCTCTGTAAAGAACTTCCCCCGACATCCAACCTAAATCTTCCCTCCTTCAACTTAACACCATTTCCCCTTGTGTCCTGCTTTCAAAGAGTTGCAGCAGATAGCATCATTTACTAATGGGAGGCTGTGAAACAAGGATACACAAGAAAATCAGACTAAGAAGATGGAGAAGAATGGTTGAAGGGCACTCTCTAGCTTGCTTCAAAGCATATCCAGCTGCTAACACAACTGAGGTGGAACTCGGTAGGAAATATTTAAGCCTATTTAGCTTTATGAGTTATGCAGTACTAAGGATACAGTATGAGTGTTAATCCCCACGTGAATGCTCACTTTTGGCTTTGTCAGTATGGCTGTGGTTGAGATGATCCAGCTGCTTTGCACACTGACCAAAAATATTCTGTCACTGAGTGGGTTTTGGTTAGCTATTCCATTTGGCATCCTGAGAAGTGCAGCAAATTCCCTCTGAAAATCCAAGTAAATTTCAAACTGTATCTACAGTTCATATGACAGAAAAACCTCACTATACCAGGCAGAGCATCTCCTATAATTATGAGCAGTAAATATTTAACAATAAAACAGCAGCTATGGGAATTCCAGTTTCCCAAGAAAAACTGAACTATTCCATCCCTCACGGATCAATTCATGCACAAATCATAACTACTGAGCAAGCAGCCTTGTCCATCAGAGCTATTTTGCAGCTTTTGGATGAGCAACACCACTATCATTCTCCTCCTCCTGCTTTTCTTCCATCTGGCTGCTCGTCCCCTTTCCGCTACATTCTCCTTTCCTTCTCCCTTTCAGTTATGCTGATACACTCACACGACCACAACAACGAACTGCAGCACGGATCTGATGCAAATTACAACCCTTTTTTTAAATCGTATTTTTAACCTGGATCACTCTCACAATATGTCTCATGGTGCAAATGAGCAAACATTTTGCCAGAGCAACAGCAAGAGATAAACACCAGAATAAGAATGAATTGCCAGGCCTGCTTACACCACCTGTGTGGTTCCTGCATGCCTCTGAAACTAATGCACATGTTCTGTTGAAGCCCAACTTATTTCCACAGAGCAGTGGCTGGCAGAAGAGACCAAGAGCTGGTTCTGCATTGCTCTTCGCTGGAAAACATTGTCTGAAGGTATAGAAAGGTGTTATCTGCTACAACAACTGTTATCAGCTATTCCATCTCTGTACTGAAAACCTACCTAAATAAATAAATAAAGCTGCAATTAGAAATACACTGAATGAAAATCTTAAGTTATGACTACCGACAAAAAAAAAAAGAAAGAGCATCCTAAATACATATCAGAAAGTTACCAACTGCTGTTAGCTACACCAATTCTAGTTGAGACTTCTGACCTGTAAGTTTGCCAATGCGATTTCTAACCCAAGATAGATTTTAAATCATATCTCAAGTCGTGCTACCCACAACAGATGTTAACAGAGGCATGCTTTTCCCCTAAATTAAACTACTCACGCATTCAAATGCAAAGGCAGATTTTAATTATCATTATTTTTTTAAAGCATTATATTATCTAAAAAGCCAGGTGAGCCCTTCTCTAACAAAATCAGGAACTTAGATGCTGAAATGAAAGTGCAATTCCCAAACTTCAAACAGGTGACACTTACACGTAATCTCTGCAATCACGCCAATTAAATTAAGGTAATTTAAGCAGTGCTGAGGGCACACTGAAGCACCATAAACCACAGAATATCCCGAGTTGGAAGGGACCCATAAAGATGACCCAGTCCAATACGTGACGTATGCTTTACATTCCGACACCTGAGCAGTTATTCTCCTGTAAGGATCCAGCTTCCCCCCACCACTTAATTCCAGATTTCAAAGCAAGGCCCCAAGCTACGTGTTTGCGTTGCTAGCGTTGCTTAGAGGCGTACAACATACAAACGAGAAAGTCCCTCGAAAATAGCCAGTTTCAGCCACGGCGTATTGAGAAACTGAAAGAACAGAGGTAACCCCGCTCGCACAGACAGTAAATAAAGAAGAGATCGGCTGCAGGAGAAGGACGGCAGTGAACAACGGGAGGCAGAGCAGCACAGCACAGCAGCGGGTCTGGCAGCACCCACCCACCGGCCTCGGCTGTAAAAACGGCCCGGCCACCTCCTGCCGGGAGCAGCTGCAAGCCCGACTGGAGCTGCCTTCCTGCAAGGGCCCGGCCCCCGGGCACAGCGAGCCGCCCTGCAGCCTCCCGCTTCGGCTAAGGAACGGCGGCCGCCGTCCAATCGCCCGCTTCCTCCTCCCAGAGGCGTTCAGCGGGACCTTCCCTCAAGCCTCCGCGGCCCCGCGCAGCAACCTCGGTTCGCCCCTCCTCCTCCGTCTCCTCCTCCTTCTCCTCCGCCTCCTCCTCCCTCGGTAAGGGCCACCCGGCCTCTCAGAGACCCCTCCACCGCTACCGGGCCCCGCGCTGAGGCGCTCACCGCGCTGAGGCGAATGCCGCCCTGAGTTTTCGCCGCCATCTTTTGTGCCGCAGCGACAGCCGGGGCGGGAAGGAGCGGGGAATGGGGGCGTCGGGGAGCGCCCAGAGCGCGCACATCCGCCTCGCCCCCCTCCCGCCGCGCTTCCGCCGCCAGCCTCAACCTCTTCCGGGAGGGGGCGGGGCTTAGAGGCAAGGCCACGCCCTCTCAGCGCGCACAGATGAGTGCGCGGCGGCGGGCGGGGGAGAGGGCGACGCGCTGCCGCAGGTCGGCAGCCAGCGGGGAGGCGGGGCCATCGCCTGCGGCCGTCCAAAGGCTCGGAGAGCGGGTGGAGCGAGGCTGGCGTGCCGCGGAGGGGGCGGGTTTGTTGTGTTTTGCCTTCCCTCTCTTTTTTAGGTAAAAATGCGCGGGCTCACCGGCCACGCCTGGGGGTGGGGCTCGAGCGGGCTCTTGTCCCGGGCGGCCCCGCGGATCGGTGGGTGGAGAATTAGTTCGGCGGATGGTCGCAGCGGGGTTGCGGTGAATAGGTCTTCGTGCAGGTGGGGTCGGTCACAGGTCGTGTCCCTTAGGGGTCCGTCCCGGGACAGTGCTCTTCAGCATCTTTATCGGTGAGCTGGGTAGTGGGATAGAGTGCACCCTCAGCGAGTTTGCAAACGACGCCAAACTGAGTGGTGCAGCTCGTACAGTAGAACGGACACCGTCCAGAGGGCAGGCTTGAAAAGTGATCCCGTGGGAACGTAATGAGGTTCAACCAGGCCAAGTGCAAAGTGTTGTATTTGGGGCAGTCCCAGTTATGAATACAGACTGGGAGGAGAATGCACTGAGAGCAGCTCTGCAGAGAAAGACTCAGGTGTCCTGACGGATGAAAAGCTACACATGAGGCAGCAGTGTGCACACAGCCCAGAGAGCCAACAGTATCCTGGGCTGCATCACAAGAGGAGTGGGCAATGGGAAGAGGGTGGGGATCATTCCCCTCTGCTCTGCCCTCATGAGGCCCCATCTCAGAGTACTGCATCCAGGTCTGGGGCCCAGCATAAAAAAAAGAGGAACTGTTGGAGCAGCTCCAGAGGAGGGCAGGAAGATGTTCAGAGGGCTGGAGCACCTCTCCTGTGAAGACAAGATGAGGGAGCTAGGCTTGTTCAGCCTGGAGAAGGCTCCAGGGAGACCTCATTACAGGCTTTTTTTTTTTTTTTAAGTACTTAAAAGAAGCTTATAAGCAGGAGGGAAATTAACTTCTTCATGGTCTGGTAGTTGAGAGGTCAAGGGAGAATGGTTTAAAACTAAAAGACTGGAGATTTAGTTAGCAGGGGGGGAAAAGAAAAACACTGAAGAGGACGGTGAGGCACTGGCACAGCTGCCCAGAGAAGCTGTGGTGCCCCAGCCCTGGAGGTGTGCAAGGCCAGGTTGGATGGGGCCCTGGGCAGCTGAGCTGGTGGGGGGGCAGCCCTGCTCATGTCGGGTGTTGGGATGGATGGGCTTTGAGCTTCCTTCCATTCTGTGATTTTATGAAATGGAAGCAAAGAGATCTGTTTCTGACCCTTTCATTTTCAGTGTCAGTTTGTCCCTGAACGAGAAAGGAAATCCGCACACTTCAGAAGTAAAGGGCTCACGAAGCATTACCTTTATCAATCTTCCCAACTAAGAAATGCACAACAGCATGACCTGGGGAGCCTTTGAGTAATACAGGAATGAATTGTTTGTAAGATGTACTGTACTGTCGTCTCAAGCTTTCTTACCTGTCTGTGCAGATTCCTCCTTACATGAAGTAATCCAAATGTTATTGTTCTCTTTTACTATTTACTGTACTCCTACTTACCTGACAGTTCAGAGATGCACAACCAAAAGCTACATAAATGTGTAACTGCTCTACGTGGGCAGAGTTCCTAACAGCAGGGGCTGACGTTGCTTCTCTGTTTTCTTTCAGCTGTAGTAGTGGATTGCTTCTGTTGTGATCCAAGTGAAATTGTAATTCTGAGTATTTGGTAACATCATTTGTAGGAATAAAAAAAACCAAAACAAATCAACTTAGAGATTTGCAACTGTTTGCTCAGGTGCGAACCCCAGAACGCAAGGTAAGAACTTAAAGTTTAATCAAAGGGCTTTGACTCTTTTTGCTAACTGCAGCTGCCATGTCAGATACACTTGCACAATAAAGATTGCACAATTCCCTTTCTCTTTTTCCAGTGGATTTCTTATGTGTTTTTCAAAGACAGCACTGAGGTCAAATTCCAGTGCCATTATTAATGAGTTGGCAGTTTTCCCTGTATAAATCACACCACTAAGAAAAGAGACTGCAGGAGTTACTAGAGTCTCCCTCACTGAAGACTTAGTACCATGTTTTCCCAAGTTGACTAAGTAACATCTACAGCAAGGTGCATATTTCACAAAATTCATATTTCACATCCTGTTTACTCACAGAACAAAATCTGTCAACTGTTTCATTAAAGTTGTGTTTCAACTATCTGCAGGTATTTTGAGCAATGGACATTTACCTTGAGTCCAGACTATTTTCTTTGTGAAAGACCTGAGACAGTTGTGGGGTTTGATTATTTTCATATATGTATTTACAGCTGGGAAGCTCCCCGTTGTCTATTGTAACTACACTACATGTTCCTCTCTATCTCCTTTCTTATTCTTCCAATTTTTCAATCCTGTCATCTCAATTTTCTCCTACTAGAAAGCAGCTCTTATTTTGGTGGAGGTCAAAGAGAAAAAAGCAACCCAACAACCAAAGATACAGGTGTTGTAAAATAAAAAGTTTAAACTAAAAGCCTGAGGTACAGTAATTCATGCTGATCAAAACCTTACAAGCCTCTGCTCAAGAAGTTATGGAAAACATACATCAGCCCCTACCTGAAAGTACCATCAAGTTTTGATCAACTCTTTCTTTCCATCTCCTGCTCATACCATCCCTTTGCTCTGTTGGCAGAGATGAAATCAGAAGGCCTAGTCTGCTGGGCGCTCACCTCTGCCAAGGGCTCCTCCTGAAGCTCTGCTGCTGAGTGCCAGGAGACAACCAGCATTGAATAAGTAAGTCAGGGAGCTGCTTTGGGACAGTAATTGCAAATCATGGAGGTGTCTGTTACTGCCAAACCTGATGATCTTTATTTGACTAAGCAGGTACTCAACAGGCATTGACTACTTTAATGCTACTAAATTAATACTATTTGTACTATGCTACAATATTTCCCAGAATACATGCAACATATTGCAAGCATTTTCAAAATATAACTAAATATTACCTGCTTGTGAGGTGTGAGATACACTGCATAACCTTAAAAAGATGCACAAAGACTCAGGGGAAAGGGTGAAATATGAAAATAGCTTATTCATCAGGGTCACTGAAACCATACTTTTCTGGCATTTGAACTTCAAGCTGAATTGAATGAAGAGTTCTCTTCCCCCACAAATGAAAATGGCAGGACTATCAGGGCTTTTGCTCAGAACATACAAAAGCATCAGTATGAACTTCAAAAGTCTCTGATGAAGAGACTTCATGCAACAGGAAGGGTGGGAGATAAGACAGGGGAGATGGTGCAGCCTTGTCCGATGGGGATGTATGGGCAGGCACGCAGCCACAGCTGCAGGGACCCAGATAAGGTCTGGAGCTCTGCACAGAAGCCTTCATGCACTGAGATCGAATTTGAGAGCTTTTACAGAATCAGAGAAAAAGACAATCCATCAGCAGTAGTCTAAAAATGAGAATTGCAGCTGAAGAGGTATTTCAAAAATAACATTTAATATTATTATTAGAATTACATTCAAATGTAGCATTGAATACAATTAGCCATTATTTAATGCTCCATATTTAAAGTTCTGCTGTTCTTTGGCAGTTATCTTGGTTGCACCAACTGTATTTTTCTTCCCTTCAGGAAAAGGAAACCTCTGTGAATAATTAAATACTTCTCCTTCTACGTATCATGCACTGTTGCTATGCTGTCTCAAAGCTGAAGTATGAAAAAGAGAAAACTAAGCTTGAAAACAAGCAAAAACTACATCACACAGCAAAGGCATTTTCTCTCCAGCTCTTGCTGCTGAGTTTGAAGCAAAAGTTTATCAGATGTATCTACAGTGAGGTTATACTGCTTTGGTAGTACAACCATCTTCCTTCAGATGGATTTAAATGCAGTACTGTAAGAATTAAAGTAGCTAAAGTTAGTCCCGTGTGCAAAAGGAATGAAGTTAAGCTGTTAACGATACCTTTAAGCATATTCAGTGGCAAGCCATCCAAGTAAGACTAATTCAATTGAGCCCATTCTTTTTTGTTCAGAACCCTTTTTATAATGATAAAAGATGTGCAGGCCACTTAAAGCAGCAATCTGCAGAATCACAGAGCAAAGGCAAAAGCACACACAGAAGGCAAGAGAGAAGCAAGTGCTATTTTTGCAGAAGGTAAGATCATCTTAGAGTTCCAAGCAGCTCAGTCACAGATTCAATTTTTAATGCTTACCACCACATCCTGGGTGGTGGGATGGTGATGTTTGATCTCATGCACATCTGAAGCCCTGACAGATAGAATGGGACATTCCCTTCCAAGGGGAATGGGAAAGGGAACCATCTAAGTTAGTGCTTTATCACCTTTTGTTAGCGAGTAAACTAAGTGAAGACATAGGTTTAGACCTTAGAGGAGAATGTAAAGCAAAAAGTTTAGTAGCAGAAAGTTGTCCTAGATTGTTAACAGCAATTCAATAGCATCTCATGATTTTAAAAGTAGTCCCTAAGCATGGAATGCAGCCACTCACCAGAAAGCTAAAAGTCAAACTACCAGGTCATCCTGAGTATTAGCAATATTATTAATCCTTGAGCTTATGTAAGCAATTGACAAAATTATTTAAAAATATCCTGTTCCAATTTTCAAGTGATGCTTAAAAAGGATTTTTTTTTTCCATTTGTGCTTATTCCAACAGCATTAGATAGTTAATAAATTATATTAATACAAATAATTCACATCCCTAGTACTACGCAGTATCACATCTCATTCTATCGCTTTCCTTAACAGTCAAAATTCACAGAAACTTGAAATTTAGCACAAGTCTATCACATTACCTTCATACAGCATTACAGTATTACAGTTGTAAAGCATGTTGCTTAGCATTTCATTATTTTAGTTTATAATCCAAAGATGGATTCATACATCTGTAGGTAAAAAACACTGCCAAATAACTTTCCATATTTCTTGTGTGAGTTTTGAAAAAAAATAATTAAAAAAAATCCCTGATCTCACAACCTAACCTTAAACCATAATAAAGGACATGCCAAATGAATCTTTTTTTCTTTTTAATTAGGAAAAAAACACCAATAATGATGGAAGTCCAACACCAAGCACGTTTACCTCGGTTGAGATGTTTCAAATAACACAAGTACCAGTCTGCAGCTTTGTCTTGTAACTCCATTTCTGCGGAGGCAACATTGTTTAAATAAAGCAGCAGACAAAGCTTTTCATCATGAAAACTATGATAAACTTTCCCTTCCAAAGAAATCAGCATTGCAAATCCAGTCAGAAAACCCAATATCAAAACCTCAATGGAGTCCACCTCCTCATGGAAAAAACATTCATCTAAGCTTTTTGGTGTACGTGTGGCTATGGTGGTACTTATCCACTAACTGTCAGAAGTGGGCTTCAGACAAGCAGCTTCACTGTATGGTAGCACAACTAATCACTGTCTCTTCCAGGTCCTGAATGGTAGAAGTGGTGCAGATCCAAAAGAAGCTGCACCTTGAACACTATCGTAGTCATGGCACTATGAATGACATCCCTTCCTCCTATAATACGTAGGAACAGCCAAATACATTTATTTGAATAAAAAGTGTTTCTTAAAAAAATGAATTTTCCTTCAAATTAGGCTGGGGGTTTACAGTGATTTATATTTTTACAGGATTATCTTCATTTAACTGCATTTCCTAAGTTGCGAGACGATCTTAGCCACTGAAAGAACAAAGTTCTTTCATTTAAGAACTGGATTAGAATATTCTTTGATTAGTCAGCTAATTAAAATGAAAAGCCCTCAAGGTAGTGCAAATTATAAAATGTTACTGCATAGGTTGGTCGTTTGCGCATGTACATGTCTTTTATTTAGGAATCACTCATCCTGAAGAGCACTCTTATAATACAAAGCTGAAATTACAAACATGGTAAGTCTGCAGTTCTTTGCGTAGTAAGGCTTATAAAATAGATCTGTTTGAAACTTAAATTACCTGTTTACAAGATGCTAAGTTTTAGGATCAGTTAAAGGAAGAAGAAATAGAAGGGGGGTTTTAACTTCAAGACATGGCTTTTCTGCAAACTGATTGTATACACTGACATGCAAATTTACTTTCAGATCACGGTTCCAAAAGTAGTGTAAAATACTTACTTGAGAAATTACTGGATAAATGGTACAGTTGCTACTTTCACCAAGTTAAAAATCTTCTACCATTATTTACAAATCTCTTTAATCCTTCACAAGGAAAAGAAGTGAAAGAATACAGTAACAGTGGTAAATTACCACCAAGCTGTACATCCTCCTTCCTGCCTCCCCAGAACACAAAGAATCCTGCTTTTTATCACCACTGGGAAGCTTGAATTATTGAAGTACATCCTGTAAGATCTGGAAGAAAATCTAAAACGTAGTTTTAAAATGGAAAAAAAAAAAAAAAAAAAAAAAAAAAAAGAATTGCAGTAATGTTTTCTCTTTCTTTTTTGGCTGCTTAACCACATAAGTGTCTGATAGGCAGCCTAACTTTCCATGTTTTCAAGGAAGTCACATTCAACACTCTCTTCAAGCTGTTGCAAGATCCTTATGCCATTGCTGCCAACGTAGTCCGCAGAGAGAGATGCAGAAGAATGTGAATTGTGGGCCTCACTCCCTTTTGTTGTAAATGCACAACACAGTGTCTTGAAGAAGGGCATGAGCTGGGTAATGCTAGATATAGAGCGGAAGTTCAAAAGAGGAAATTTGTGCCTTTTGGAAATTCCCTCATCGGTGTTATTTCTTTCCTGTAAACATGCAAACCAAGATTTACTTACTGCATTACGACACAATATCCTACTAAATATGGCTCCTTTGAAGCCTGTATTATACACTTGGTTTTATACTGAGAGGTCCACAGCCTACAATTCCATCGCAATATGAATTGTATAGATGGTATAATGAGTTATTTCTATATTCAGATCTGAGCTTCTGTTAAATGAAAGTCCCACAATTTCAGAACACTGGAAATTTGGACAAGCCTTCAGAAGCAGCTATGAGAAAGCTGCAGAATGCAAAGGTACCTGATAAATACTAATGTATTCTTCTGTAAGTACTAATACTAATACTAAACCTTAATGGCAATTTTAAGTGGTCTTATGGTAAACTTCCTGACACTCCACATGCAAAAGAAAACTGGAATCTTCAAGATACGTTTGAGAAAGCAGGCAGATAGTTTTTAAAACCATATGGAATCTTAACATCTAAAAACCTCTTGCCCAACTTACAATCTTACCACTAATTTAGAAAAGTTAAAGGCTTACAAAAGAAAAATAAGTAAAGCACTTTCTTTACCCTGTATTTCATCTTTAGCAGATCCATTATTCGTATTATGTGTGGTCTACATTCCTGATGATTTTCTACCAGATGAGAAGTCACAGTAGAAGACTCTGTGTCCACCTCTGGGACAAATGCCCATTTATACCTAAAACAAAAGGATTACATTGCTGAGAAGACAGAAAAAAAATTCCCTGTTTGGATCAAACATAGTTAGCAAAGCACTGATTTGTTCACAGAAAGAGCTGTCATAATTACAAAGTTGTGCTATTACCAGAGCTAAACTTAGTGAACTAGGAAGTTACTACTTCAGTACTATATCAGTACTTAAATGCAACTGCCTCCAAAAGACTCCCAAGTGTGGCAAAGGGAAAACAAAGAACCGTCCTTCTTTTTCTTCTCCCTATTTTTCCATGTGAGATAGCCTTCAAATAAAGTGAAATCTTCCTACATTGACAAGACTGAATTGCCTTTCTAAATATCCCAAATTACTTTTGTTCTAGAATCAAAGTCTGCACTTGTGGAAAGAACAAACGGTGAAATTAATATTTGGAATTATATTAAAGGACAAGTACAGAAACAACCTGGAGAACAGTTAAGCAACTAGAGGACTTACATTTGGAACAGCTGCATCCTATCAGGTGGAAATGAAAGCGCTGTGTCTAAAAACTTGCAAGCAGATAAGTACAAAGACAGCTCATTCTGCTGGATGTCGGATCCACTGCCATCACCTGAGACTTTCTGTTTGCTTAACTTGCTGTTGCTTCTGTGGTAGTAAAAATTGAGAAGCACACGATTAAACATAAATCCACCAAGTGTTTTCCATTCAGCAAAAGGGAAATGTACACATTTACACAAATGTGCACTTGCACCTGTGCACAGAAGTCTTATTTTTATTCCGTGTTAGCACTGAGATTTATATAAAAGGCTGTACATGGAAAGATATCTAAAGTATTCAGAAAAAAGTCAATGTTAAAATATTCAATATTCAAACACTGACTTTCGTATTCTTGTATGCAACTGTTACATACCAGTTTTTTCTAACTATAACTATTTCTGCTGCTTAAAAAAATACTGATTTACCTGTGTCAGAAATACACAAGTGAACAACAACAAAAAAAAGGCAGATACAGAACAAGCACAGTTGCTAACAGTTTTCGCAGGTTTTACAAGCTTTCATCAGTTAAATGTTAATTCTTACTTTGATGGTTCATCTTCCTCAGTTAATTCTTCTTCCAGTTGTAGAAACGTCTGAATCTTGAAATAAATAAATTTATGGAAACACTGAATCATTTGAACAGCTCAATTATAAAAAGATACACTTCACATATTAGTGTAAATATTATAAGGAACCACAGACTCTTAGTTTACTCACAGAATCACATAGTGGCCCGGGTTGAAAGGGGCCTCAAAGATCATTAACCTCCAACCCCCTTACCACGTACAGAGCCACGAAACTCTTAAACAAGTTAAGAAATTGTGAAAGAAATTGCATTATCAACAACAGCAACATTGATCAGAAAGGCATCTCCTAATAACAATGTTGCTTCTTTTTCCAAATTATCAAACTAACGCAGACCTATGAAAACATTTCCTTCCATCCAGGGGTGGATCTGCGAGGAGGTGAAATGCAAAGAATGCGAGAAACTAATTTTAAAGTTATCACTCATTCCTTACCAATTCAGTTACCATAATTGGCCACAAGGAGGTTAGATGCTGAGGAGAAATCCTTAACAATAGAACTCTGAAGAGGAGGAACATCTGTGAGGCAACTAAAGAAGTCTGTCCAACACGGAGGTTCTCAGTCAGTCGTTCTGAAATAAATTAAGTAAGGAATGTTGTACTTCCTTTTTTTTTTTTCTTTATAATTTTAATGTTTACATATGTATCAGAGCTGAATGGAAAAGACCACAAATCTTACCTTGTATTAAGGGAAGATAGAGATGATACTGATCAATTTCTCCACTGAAGACAGCGAAAGCTTGCCGCTTTAACAACATTGCTTTTTGTTCAAAACTTGGGTAGAGCTTTAAGGCGCTGCTCTGCATATCTGTAACACATATAAGAATTACTTATTTTCTGACTAGTGACTTGAGATGACAATAATTTCTGTATCCTGAGATCTTTTAGAAATAACTACTACCTTTATACCTACAGGTTGGAGTAACATGTTGGTGTTGATCCTGATCTACTCAAACTAGCAGGAGAATTATATAAAACATACTCTGCAGCTGTCCAGAACTTTAAAGCCCTGCCTCTAACATGCACAAATCTCCTCGTTTCAGACTCTTAAAACCGTGGCTGAGGGATTTCAAGATTTTTAATTCTTACCGAGAAAAAGCTAAAATGGTAAATTTGAAAACATACAGTGTTAAAAAAAAAAAAAGCCTTAAAATTTGTATTGTAAGCCTTCAACTATTCTTTTAAAAGATTTCAACAAGAGACAAAAGCTGCTTTATCTTTCAAAGCTCCAAGCAAATGTTAGGGTCCTATCCCATCTCTTTTCCAATTACTTTTCTTCCATATTGTCCTCAAGCCTGAATTAGAGATCAAAGACTTGCTGTACTGGTGCACCATATTCCCATAGCTCTGTGCAAGTATACAGATGCATGCAAAGTTAACTGGAGTCTCATTGCTTTCTCACAGACAACAGTGCTACAGTCACCTTTCAGCAACTTAAAATAACGGCCAAATGTTCTTGCAGCAGTCCAGTGCTAACATTTCTGGAGTAAATACTTTTAAAATGTTAACATTACCAAAATACAGTCTGAACTTAGAACAGTTTTTAGTGGAGAATGAAGTTGGTCACATAATCAATTCTGCAGATGCAGCGTTGCCTGCATTTTATTGACACATTAGACACCAAACAGATCAAAACCAAATTTAAATATAATTAATTTAAAATTAATGCAGAAATAAGTTATCAGTAGCTCATACTTACTCATCAAGTCTTTAAACATAGTTTTCTCATGTGTTAGAAGGTGATCAATAATGGATCTCCAACTGGATAAGACATAGAAGGAACTGGATAAGTAAAAGTTCAACAATATAAAGGACATGACAGATAACCAGAGAAAGCCTTGGTGTAGAATTCACATAAAAAGATATTGGACAAACAATTCATACTAGGCAACAGTTTCCAACACGAATTCACTATGCAGAACCTTATCCAGTTTACACATACTGAATTCTATGTCCTTCAACTCCATTATATGCCATTTCCAAACACTAATGGCAGTTGTTAGCAAGAGAGAGGTTTATTCTTCTGTGCCATAAAGATAACTTAAATTTCTATAATTGAGTTGAGTTTGTTGAGATCTGTTTTTAACATTACTACATTCTGTGAGCAAGTACTACAGAGAACATTCAATATTAGTCTCTAAGTCTTTCTTTGCAATCATCAAATAAACTCTTGGAGTGCTACCATCTCACGTCTTACTGAGTGCATGAAGTGTCCATCTGGAAAAAAGCCGGATCCATATACAACTCCAGAACTTCTTTTTTCCATGCTCGCTTGGTATAGGCGTACCCACTCAATGAGCTGAGCAACTGAGAACCAGCACGGAAACTAGGAATGTTGTAGGTACTGAGGGAAGAGGAAAAGTAATGATAAATATCAATCTTTTTAAAAGTTACATTTGCGTATCTGGAAAATTAACTGTTTTCTGGAGAACTTCTAACCAAATTATCTCAGAAACAGAATAGGCTGTGTTTACATCAGCTCATTAATTCAGAGCAGTCGCAGATCAGTTGATCAAAGCATTTTCTGCAGAAATTCCTCACATTTTCAGAGTACCTTGTATGGGGTGGTATTTTCTGATTAGACATATCATGGCACTGCCCACCTCAACTACATGCGTGGTTCAAATCTTCCCCAAAAGAAAGTTCACAAACTAGTCAACAGGTTCTGCAAGGTACAGTAGGGAAGGAGTGCTGAGCTCAAGCCTAACGTGGTTGGAGCAAGGAGAAGAGACCCTTGATGAACCGATGCCTGTCAAATAGCTTCCTGGAAATCCTGGGTATGGCAGCTGTTCTGACACCTCCACGGACAGGGCATCCACAACCTCTCTGGGGAACTGTTCCAGCATCTCACCACTCTCTCAGTAAAAACTTCCCCAACATTTAAATTGAATTTCCCTTCCTTTAATTTAAAACCATCACTATCTACCATCATAAAAAAAATTATTTCCCTCATGTTTATAAAATCCACAAGGAATTCTCCCAGCCTTCTCTTTTCCAGGCTGAAAAAGCCCAGTTTCTTCAGTTTATCTTCATAGGAGAGGTGCTCCAGCCCTTGGATTATCTTCATGGCCCTCCTCTGGACCCTCTCCAAAAGCTCCACATCTTTCTGGTGTTAGGGGCCCCAGACTTGTACGCAGCATTCCAGCTGGGGACCCGTGAGGAAAGAGAGTAGAGAGAGACAATCACCTCCCTTGCCCTTGCAGAAGTTGTCATTAGCCCCTGCATTAGTTCACAAGGACATCCTAACAGCAGTGGAGCAGAGATGGAGTGCTTGGGTTATAGCAAGCTCAGCATGACGTTGTAATTTCCAGGAACAGTTTCCGTGGTGGCTATATACAGGATTTTCTTCAGGTATTGCAAATAGCAAAAGCACATGATCTACTTGTGCAGTAGTATATGCCTGGGGTCAACAAGGATGGCATGCATTTCATACATCAAGAATCTGAATGACTTGCTGATAGGTTAAGTAGATTGTAGTAAATACAGTAGAAAATGACAAATAAATTAATAGAGAAGAGCTTCCCAAAATTTCTGTGCTTCACTCTGATTCATTTCCCTGGAGCATGGAAAAATCTTCATACCCTGCTGCACTCTCAGGCTTGCTGGCTTCGCTTCCTCACTTCCTAGTAACACTCAACCCATCATCCCTTGTAGACATGCCTGGTTATTCTGGTTGTATCTTCCTGATCCTTCATACTCTTTTTTTGGCTCTGTACTGCATACTGCCTAGTGGTTTTGACTGCAACCTAAATAACACTTGAGACAACCTCCCCTGAACTGTGGCTGTGATCTCTCTCACACTTCAGTATATACTGGCCTACTTTGGAAAATGTAGAAGCCAAAAAGTAGCAGATAGGAGGAGGGGAAGCCTGAAGCCTGACAATAGCTACAGCAGTAACAGCTGTCCAGTGTTTGCTGGAGAAAAAGTAAGCAAGAGAAGGTTGCTTCTTGCCAGTTGGCAGAGAGCTGCTAGAAGAAGGAAGTTCATTTGATTTTTAAGAGATTTGTGAATAGCACTGAGAGTTTAGGGGAAAGGGAAGCATGAAGAAGACTGATGAAATAGGACTGACTTATGAGACTCTAGAACATGGGAAGTAAATCTCCCCACGAAGACAGTGTTCTCTTTTCCCTCCTTTTGCTCCTATGGGGACAAAAAAGTTACACTGGAATGTAACTTCTCTAGAATGGGAATAGGTGGGAGGACAAACAGTACCAGGCATCTTTCCCTGTGGGCAAACAAAGTCTACAGTGTCTATACATTTACAAATATTGGCTAACGCTGCCTAAATAGCACAACACCCTACGAGAACAGAGAGAACAGGAAAGGGCTTTAAAATCTCCTTGTCTCTTGCCCTACCTCACCCTTCTATAACCTTGCACACATAAATGGGCTCTGTTGTTTGACCAAGCATCAGCCATGAAAGAGTGCTGGGGATCAGCAGTTGGCAGCAAGCAAAGCCGCTACTTCCAGTCAGATGTGCAGCAGCTGCAGCCAGGGAACGTAGTTCACTGGCATTCCTGCAGAGGCTGTCATTTTCCCAGCTCTTAAGAGCCTCCTGCTTGCAAGCCTTTGCCAGTCTGGTATCATGCAAGCATCATGCAGATCCCTTTCCACTATTGCCTCTGGTATTTTCCTCCTTTGCAGTGCAGTCCTAGCCTCTGAGTGCTCCGAAATAATTCTCTGGAGTACATACTGCACCACAGCAACATGGGAACCAGATCTATTGCATCTCCCTCCTCAGAAGACACTGCAGACAAGAAAAGAGGAAACCTATCAGCCTGAGAGTCTGTGAAAGAAACACAATAGTCTATTATCTGTGGCCTCCCACCCCTGAACCTCCAGCTTTTCTCAAGGAGGCAAGGATAAGGCTTTTGAGCACAGAGAAGGACTTCTGTCAGCATGTGCTCTTAGTGTGCTCCAGGCCATACCCCAGACCATCCAGTATGAAAAATGATCTAGGCCTGCATCTTTCAGGGGATGTACACAACACTATGGCTGTTCTCTGCCCACAGCCAGTGCTCAGAATGCCTCCTGACACAGAATTTTACTGGATAAGGTTAGGAAGTGACAAGGGTTCAGAGCTCTGTTGCAGCAGTGACATGTCAGCATGTGTGACATTAGTGCCTCTGGATGCTACTTGCATGGTGACCCTCAGACTTGAAAAAGGCCACAAGCTTGACAGTGAGCTGTGACTTGAAGATTTCCTCTAGCTCTCTACAGCAAGTGCATGTCTGCTAGGCTGTTCCTTACCTCCAGTTGCTGTCCTGGTCCTCATTCAGACTACCAAAAGATGTTTAGACACTTCACAGAGAAGACTCACCAGTGGCAGATTGGTAGAAATTAAAAAGCAATGATAGTAAATGACAATAAAAGCAATAGTTTTCACCAACAGAAAAAAGCAACTGGGCAGACAAAGTAAGAAATGGTTACGTGTAAGAAGAACAAAAGGATAAGGAAACAACAGTAGCAAAACAAGTAGTTGCAGTGAAGATCTGAGGGATCATGGTGAATGGCAAATAAAAGAGTAGGATTATCTGACGGGCAAGAACTGCTTCAGGATGTCCCAAGTTTAACAGCCTTCCTCTGGTAAGCGTGGTACATATATGCTAGATCTCCTCCTGGCAGTGCAGTCAGGAATTAGTAAGCCCTATTGGGTCGCACTTGCAGAGGACTTTCTGCTAGTTTCCTCCAAAAGGAATTTAATTCACGCACCAAAACTGGTTTGAGAACTCTGCTTTTCACAAATGGAGACAAATCATGGGATTCACCTCAAAACTAAACTACTGCTGAAACCAATTTCTAATGTAAACACAGCCATCAAGTATTACCCTGAATTTTAATTCATTAGAGCAATAGTCAGAACAGCAGTCTCCGAGTACAGGAATTTTACAGGTCTTTTAACAGAAACATTCACTTGTTAGTGAGATTGAGAATTCTCTTGAGTAAAAGATCAACTTTATGATACTTTATCAACTATTAAGTACCCCTGAGAAGGAAAAAAAGCAAAAGTCTGTAATGAGGTCAAAATTAAACTTCAGAAAAATCAGATATACAGAGAGAGAAGTCACCTGTGGTTGCGTAGATAAGGAAATACATAATATAGCAAACGGGAAATCAATGGCACGGCTTTTTCTTTCTCATCACTTCGGTAAACCATGTCCAAAAGAGAAGCAAGAACCTTAAAAATAAAATTGATGTCTCATTAAACCTACAGCAGTTGTCTCTGACAAAGGGGAAAAGCACACTGTGTTTCAAGATAGGATGTGGATGTGTGTGGGATGCCTCATTAAGATCTAAACCCCCACACACTCTACCAGAAAAAACTGATGTATTCCTCTGCTCAATAATAAAAATACATAACTATAGATGAGAACAGCAATTGCAATGCAGGATCCTACTTACTTCTGCAAGGAGTGAAAGAGCTTGGACACTGTATATTGAAGGGGCAGAAGCAGAAACCATTGATGAGGGTGCCACTGAAGTATCTACAGGAGGCAAAATCATATAGTTTTCACTTCAGACGAGACATGTTTAAATTTTGCTGTTGATCCATTTTCTTCCCAAACAGAACTGTTATTTGCATGTTGGTATTACATAGAAATGCTTCTGGGTATCTCACCACAGTAGCATACTTCATGCTTTGTGTTATTCTGTCCCACGTATTGAATGCACCTAAAATAAGTTTTCCTCTGTATTACACACCATGTATAGTATTTACTAAACCCACTTAGGCTGGCATTGCTATTGGAAGACAATGAGTATGTTTACTTTTTAATCTGTATTACTTCCTTCTCAAGCAAACTACACACTAACACATTGTGCTCTTTATTGACTTAAGCAGAAGAGGAAAAGCAGTGGAAAATCAGACAAAACCACATTACCATTCACATCTTCAGTGTTGAACTCATCTGGCAAAATCTGAGGCTGAGCTTTCACTTCCAAGTTCCGGCTCAGCCAGCTAGTCTGTTCCAAAGAAGAACCAGCAACATTCCCTACAGCCTCCAAGATTTTTTGGGTCACTTCCTATAAAACAAGATGTTAATCTGGCGTTAGATAAAACTTACTATCACTTGTGAAATCCAATGAAGTCCTTTTCATATGGAATTAAAATCAATAGGAGGCACTTTTAACTCTTAGAAACATATATACTTCTATGATATATTTATCTGTGCTCTCAATATAC